ATACTTCGGCCAGAGACTTCCCAGACAGCGCAGCTGCGAAAATCTGAAAACAACACGTGCATGTAAGCAATAGTATGTCATCAGGTCCGCAAAATCTCGATAGAGCGTTCGCGCAGGCACCGCACGTGGTAATCTCATCGGCGTCGTCGTACTGCCAGACATGGATGAGCGCAAAAGCAATAGGAACTTGTTTGATGTTGCCGTCACTCCGAGCCAAGGCATGCACAGAAAACAACTGTATGAAAGGGGCACGAACGACTTTGAAAGTCGAATCAAGGTACCAGCGGGTAGTCTTTCCTACCAGGGTTATCATTAGGGGAAGGGCAAACAGCAGGTGTCTGCGTTCACGCACTCTTATGTCGCGCCGCATGAACCCATCTGCAACAAAGGTATTATCTATATCAAAATCAAGCTTGCCTGCCTGCTGCCTTTTTCTGTTTGCAGTGCGGGCCAGGTGATCTATGCAGGGTAGTGCATCTATAAGGCCACCATCACATTTCTCAGCAAGTACCTCAGAGACGATGCTCGGGGCGATGCTCCTCGTTGCCTTTCTCTTTACGTCAGCAATCACTTTAAGAGCTGTTGAGGCATCCGGCACAGGCTGGTGACAATGTGGTTGGGCACGTGCAATGAATGTATTGTCATTGTTATTCTGCTTAACACGTGCCAAGCATGTTTCGCGCTTATTTCGGACGCTGCAACGCCAGGTGGTAGTGACGTCATTAGACCTGTACAAGGTGTACGTGAATCCTTGGTCATCCGCAAGCTTGACGCGGCCACTCTGCGATGCGGAGTCGATGACTTCATACTGGAGGGGCGGTGGGACCATTTCGGGTTCCTCGTCCGTCGTGGAATCGTCTGAAACGGAATCATCATTGCGGACAATTATAGGTCCAAGGGGAGGCCCAAGGGACCTCTTTCTTTGCCAAAGCACACCTCCTTGGAGCCTGTTTGATAGGAGGATGGTCTCCGGTGTCAATCCGATGCCTCACGAGGCTGGTGTGGCCCAGCCTCTCACCAAGGACTGTGAACAGACGTGCAGAGCAATGGGAGGGTGCAAGCTTCCCTGACTGAGCCAAGCTGGCTCTGTGTTGCTTTGGAGCCGGATGCCGCAGCTTATATACAGTCGTGGGGACATCACGTGGTCACAGTCATGTGCCCCCACATGTGACCTGCAGGTGTCCTGCCCAATTAAGCCATAGGTCAAGTGGTGCAGCATGGCTTTCCGTTCCAATTGCGGCTAGCCAGTGGCTCAAGCCGGACGCTCTTCAAGGTGAAGTAATGCTGACGCTGCTATATTGTATGTTTATCGGCGGTCCAATCGTACATATAATCAATATAATATATATATATATATATATATATGCATCTGTCACAAATGTATTTATCTTGTATGATGATGTACACACATACACATACACGCGCATACACACGCGCACACACACTAATATAAGTGAATGTATATCTGATGTATGGCTGCTATAGATGGATGGATGTATGCATGGATTGATGGATGGATGGATGGATAGATAGATAGACAGACAGACAGATAGATAGATGTACAGGTAGATGGATGGATGGATTGATAGATAGATAGATAGACAGACAAACAGACAGACAGAATGACAATTACCAAATGAAAAGTAGAGGGAACTTGTATGTGACTACATGAAATACATAATATATATCGAGGAAAAAGAAGGAGTTGCATGTGAAAGACGATCATCACATATTTAAAAATGGGATGGACAGGGCAGTGACGTAAACCCGGGCCGGGGGCAGAGGAAGATACGCGCGTGGACGCACGGCACGCGCCGGATTAGTCACCGCACAGCAAATATGTTAACAAACAATACGCAAGACAAGATCAGTTAGGCTCGTTTGCAATCAATTAGGCTATCAGAACTGGCTTAAAGTTCGTCAGTCTGTTCAACCATGTATTCACCACGACGCGCGCCTGCGTGGTAACCAGGTGTTGCAAGTGCACCTGACGCGGATGTCTAGAGTTTTATAGGAGGGTCATGGGGTAGGTGCCTATGTGTGGCGTTCTTACACACACGCACGCACACGGCCGACGCGACACGACGCGGGGCCCGCGGCGGGGCACCCACACGTGAACACCAACACACACGGCGGCGCAACACCACAGTCATATATATATAGTATACTGTCAGTCGTGCTTCAATATACTCAAAATTCAACAGAAACCTACTAAGAATGTGTTATATGTGCTTGCAATATGCTCAAAATTTACAGAAGGGACCATAAGCTAAGCATGTGTTTATATGTATCTAGAATTTTAGAAATGTAACTCAATCGTTCGCGGAGATATTAAGTTTAACAGTAGCACTTTCTAACTGCATCCCAAGCCGCGCGATATTAGCCTATGACGATACGGCGCGAACGTATATTTCTGGTAATTAATTAACTATTCGTGCTTCAATAAACTCAAAAGATTCAGCAGAAACCTAGTAAGAATGTGTTTATAATGTATCTGAATTGTAGAAATGTAACTCAAATGTTCGCGAAATATAAGAGTTGGGGCCGTGTGAACATCTACGGAGTTAGCCCGTGTCCCCCACGAGGACGTCGCCAGCCTCTCTCCCTCACCCAACCCATGTACACCCGGCGACACCCAGGTGGGAGAGGGAGGCGGTTCGAGTCACGGCCGGTCGTGCGCCGTTATATAACGACTTTGGGTTCCTCAGGGCCTGTTGTTAGAGCGGAAGGTCGAGCGCTCAACCGATCTCCAAGAGGGTGAACTCATCACGAGCCGAAGCTCACCGATTCTCCAGAGCGCGTCAACTCGCCCAACTGCGGGGGCGAGTTTGAGGTGGGCCGAGTTGACGCGGACACTCCATTCGCTTCTGAAGTGAGCACAGGTGGGGGTCCGTCACTATGGCAATTCAATAACAGATCGTTTCATCCATTATGTCAATCATGACGGAAACACGCGAAGTTCCCGCAGTTATCTTCAAAGCGAGAAATCACAATGTAGGACAGCTGATCAATAATAGCTGCAAAAAATCGTCAAAATAAAAACGGGAAAGTTTATTATTCGACTAATACTGGCAACATGGTTCAGCATTCACGTTGTACGCTCTCCTTCTTTATAGCGCTCTTGATAGTTCTACCATAAAATTGTATGACACGCGACGGACGCACGCACGCACGCACGCACGCACGCACGACACACCACACCACACACACAGCAGCACACTCCAACACAACAACACAGCACACACGTATATAATATAAATATATATATAATATATATAGATATATATATATATATATATATACGCGGGCGCCTAGAACTTGCTACTGAGTAAATGCTGAACAATGTAGAAATGTCTAATTAACAGTGTTAAGAATTGCGCGGTCTGCGACGGTAACTGCGGCTGCAGAGACAGACTGATGTATAACAGCAGTCTACCGATTAGGGGACTTCTCGTTGTCATGCGCTCAGCCTTTACGTAATATAATCATAGAAATATAAATGCGCTATCGCTGTACCGCTTCGGTTCTTAAGGCCGTCGCACACCTACCCAAAAATCGGTCCGATTAAAAAATCTCTTCATCGTTTGTAAAATCGGCTCATCGCAACGCCTTCTGATAAACACCCGCACACCTACGATAAAATGGATATTTAAATCTCCCTCAATTTCGTTCGTCCACGCTTTGTCTATGGTAGGGTTTCCGGGCACGTTCAGCTATTGGCTGTTCAATATTTATCGTAGAGGATTTATCGTAGAGGAGTTCACGCGCACACCACAAAATCTTGTCAGATTACTAAAAAAAAACGCTTCAAAATAATCGGTTCAAAATCAAACATGTTTGATTTGGAACGATCACCCGATAAAAATAATCGTAAGTAAAATCGTCTACAAATGAACGCGCACACCTACATTTTACCTGATTTTTATCGGGCTGATCAAATCGCGCGAAAAATCGGCTGGTGTGCGACGGCCTTTACTAAAGAACTTCACAAACTGTACTTACGGATTGCTTCCCGTATATGTCCGAGCAACACACGGAACCGCGTTTGGAGGCGTTAATTAGGAGGTTATGCCCAATATATATAAGGAGGTTAGGAAGTAATTCTCAGCATATATTTATGTATTAAGTAATAAGTTGTTATCAGTAGGCCTGCGTTTATAATTAGGACAGCGCCCTAGCCTGTAGGGAGCAAAACTAGCCCTTACTTCATCTCCTCCCGTCCTTCCCCTTGCCTCCCTTGTCTTTCACTTCGCCTCCTTCTTCTACCACCCCACAGCTATCTTTTCTGCCGCCGTTCATCGGTCTTCCACGCGCCTCTCTCCTTCAGCAGGGTAATTCTCCTCCACACCCCCTTTTTACATTCTTCCTTCCACAACCTATTTTCAATTCGTCTTGCTTCATCTAGCATCTGAAAATTCACACCTTCTGCTCTAACTGTTCTCTACACCACCAGTTTCTCATCATCTTTTTTCCTCTCTTTCTAACAACCCATTCCTCTCCAGCCCCCAGCATTTGATTTGCTCTACCTTCAGATCTCTCCTACTCAACATTTTTCTATTCCCTCCACTGCTTCTCTTTACACAAATTGTTGCCTTCCACGAAGTTATCTTCCCCCATCTTCCTCCCTCTTCTCTAAAGAAGGATGTGGGATGGAAAAGGAAGAGAAAGGAAGGGGCGTAAAAGAATATAAAAACGAAACAAAATGTAGATTTTAGATTTAAAAGTTTTAATTTTGCTTTAACAAGATTAGAAACAGAGTAGCAATAATAATAATAATAATAATAATAATGATAATGATAATCTTGTTACTAATTTATGTACTAGATGGCGGAAGAGGCGCGTTAACTTTTCCGGTCGTAACTTCCGGTAAAGACGTAAACAGCCTTGGTAAACAGCAATGGTAGTCTATGCGCAAAAACTTTGCAGGCTGGAAATTGCTGTACTACTAGTAGTAGTCGTCTCAAACTAGCAATCTCTATCAGCCTTTCTCTATGTACGAATCTCGTTAAAATAATCATGATGCAGAAGCTCTTCAGGACAAAACACGAAGGCGTGTCCCTGTCCAGGAGAGCAGACGAGATTAGCACAAACTTTTTAGCGGATCTGAATCGGCATGAGAATGAAAAGTTTAGTCACTTGCTGAAGAAGTCTAAAATATCGCTGGAGGATATTTTGAAGAAGGATGCCTTCCTAGAAAATCAGCATTACAATACATGGGCTTGCTACTTTGGAGCGATAGACCGGCCATCGTCGGAGGAATTGCTTCATAGAAATGGCGATGGTAAGAATCTTAAAGTTAAACGCATACGGCATGGCCCAATGGGTTCAAGGATAGAGAACATGGGTCCCAATAAAACCAATGTCATTTACATCAATATGAATATAATAATATATCAATATAATAGGTTAGGGTTACATGGTTAGGGTTATGGTTAGGGTTAGGGTTCGGATTAGGGTTAGGGTTAGGCACATTGGTTATATTGGGACCCATGTTCTCTATCTTTGGGCCTAGCAATGCATGGCATTACTTTAGTCTTTAGTAATGGAAGTGTATTTGTGAAACTACAGCTAGAAATTAAAGCAAGTCGATCGACTAAGAAATGAAGGCAGGTCGGAGGATTTAATGTTATATCACAAATTAGCTTCAGCTTCAAAGGAATCTTGGACTTTATATGTTTTAAAGTGGTCAGTGGTCTGGAATCTGGAGAGACCCCCAATAGGCTAATACTAATAGTAATACTAATAGTAATAATATAATATGGCGTGAAAAGACGAACAGATTTGCCACGTATTTCTATAATTCGTAACACATTTCTATAACACGTATAATCGGTATATATCTTAATTGAAGTAATGCCACTACTTAAATTAAGATACCTCATTGCCTTCTGAAATTCCCAGGGAGAATCTTCCATACGATCAGGTGCAGCTAAATGATTGGCAGAATATTTCGTTAATCATGCCATACTGGTTCTACTGTTATTATCGCAATCGAACGTCGCCGCATTTCCTCTGCGTGGAACTTCTCGTGAATTATTTTCATGAATTCCATCCTTGTCGCCAGTGTAATATTCGTGGAAACAACAGAGAGAAGTCAGAAGTAATGCTAAACAAACATCACTACGTTTATTTGCCCCTGGATACCCATACAACACTACTCTCTTGACTTAGCATTAACTACAGCGTTTGCCACTAGATGGCAGCAGTACATTAAAGTGTGTTTACTACTTAATTTTTTGAAAATGCACTTTTTTCTGCACAGGCGAAGGACTGTACCTCGTGAGGAACGGCTCGAAAGTAGGAGACTTCACGCTGTCCTTCGTCCACGGCGACAAACCGATACACTTCCACATCGACCAGCACGGACTCGGAGCGCAGTACTCGATCGAAGGCGGCGACCTCTTCTCCGGTCTCGACAAACTCCTCGAGCACTTCAGCCAGCAGGCGGACGGGCTGCCGACGCGTCTCGCCGCATTCTGCCGCAACGGCATGCCGCTGCCGTTCTCCGCAACAATGTTCGGCCGCACGAACGTGCTTCATCGCGTCGTCCGCGAGAACAACGCGCGGCTCGCGCGCATGGTGCTCGACTCGGGCCGTTACGCCGAGCACGTGAACGCGCGCGGCGCGGACGGCGACGCGGCACTGCACACCGCCGCGCACGCCGGCGCCGACGACCTCGTGGGGATGCTCGTCGACGCCGGCGCGGACGTCGACGCGAAGGACGCGCAGGGGCAGGCGCCGCTGCACCGCGCGTGCGCTGGCGACCGCGCGAGCACCGTCAGCCTGCTCGTGTCGCGCTACGACTGCGATGCGCAGGAGCCCTGCTACCGCACGGGGTGGGTCGCCCTGCACGTTGCCGCTAGCTGGGGGCACGCCGACTGCGCGAAGGTGCTGCTCGCGCTCAACGCCCCCGCACGCCCGCGCACGAACAAAGGCGAGATCCCGGCGGACCTTGCGCGGGAGGCGGGAAACGAGGAGTGCGCGCGGATGCTGGACGACTACCAGGCACCGCCGGCGCGCGCCGACGCCTCGCGGTGGCTCCACGCGGCGGCGAATCGCACGACGGCGCGGCGGCGGCTCGAGCGCGCGGGGCTTGCGAACGGGCAGTTTCTCGTGCGGGCGAGCGGCCGCCACGCCGGCATGCACATCCTCACGATGGCGTGCGACCGGCAGGTGTACAACTACGAGGTGGAGCGTCGTCGTGACGACGGCGGACGCTTGTGCATCGGCAACGGACCGCTGCTCGATTCGCTCGAGCATCTCGTCGACCACTACTCGCGCTTCAAGGACGGACTGCCGACGCGGCTCTCGGAGCCGGTTGCCGATCCCGATTGGACGCCGGAGCTGCGCACGCGCCATGACGTGGATCCGGCCGGCGAGGCGGCGGCGGCAGCGGCAACGACAGAGGAGGTCCCGGTGCCAGCGGGGCTGCGTTTGATTTACAAGGCAGATCTCCAGCTCGGCGACAAGATAGGGGACGGAGAGTATGGATCGGTACTGAAAGGTAGGATGAAAAAAGTCATAACTTTACCATATTTCTGTCAAGCATCTACGAGAAGAAGTTGACGTTAAGACTAATGTTGAGAGTAATTTTGTGTTTCTGCCAATGGGCCTCTGGAGATAGATTTGGTCATATAACCCAGCGTTACGTCATACAGTTGTTACAAAATAGCGTTGCAGTCCTTGTGTTTTGAAAAGGCACGCTTAGCTCGCTGAGGTGTGTGATTTGCATCAGAGTGCCTACAGGGCACGAGGCAAACTAGGGGGGTTCGGAAAAAATTTGAAAACTAGACTTCATGAAATGCCATTTCCAGCATTTTAGGATAAAAATTAGCTCTGCATTTGTACTCTTAATTTTGACATTTTTTAGGTGATTTTTTTTTTCATCTCACAAAATATCAGTTCTTGAACATGTGGATAACTTGAATCACACATTTAGCATGTTTAGTCAAAAAGGAACAACACTCAATTTTTCAAAGCAGACTATTAAAACTTTATCTAAAAATACAACCAATCACATTCGTCGTTCTAGAGCGCTTTGCGACTGTCGTTATAAACATGTGAACCGACTTCCGGCAATGTCCGTGATGTTTACAACCGTTTGAGTTTATCTTCGAGTTTATAAGTTGAATTAATAAAAAATAAAACACAAAAAAAAAGAAAAAAAAGGTGTGCATTTTGATAATGCTTAGATGCGCGTTTTTTCACACTTCTGATCAATCGAGGCGCGCGAGCGCGATAGCGCACCTTAAAACACAAGGTCTGGTTGGTGTTGGATATTAACTTGAATATGATACATATAGCTGAGATGTTCCGAGTCATGCTTCCCAGTCTTGTTTAAACATTATTCCCGACTCAATGCCTTAAAACCTCTGTATTTAACCCAGTCAAGCAGTTACATTTTGCGACGTTTTTCTATCGTAGGCATGTGGACTGACCCAACAACAGGTATTAAGTACCAGGTGGCAGTTAAGACAACACACGAAGATCACAGCCAGAACAAGGAGTTCCTCAGAGAGGCTGAAGTAATGATGAAGCTCAAACACGACTGTGTCGTACAGGTGAGTGAAATACATGCATAGAAAACATTTAAAGAACACTTGAAAAATGAACATTTGCTTAAAATATGTAGAAATACAAGCGAATATTGGTGACAATATAAAATCTTAGATGAGTACGGGATGCTTGAGAATGACGAAGGGTTGGTGTATCACACTATATCTATGCGAGCAATAGAGGCTATACATTTACACATTGTTTTATGATGCCGATATTTGGTTGAATATTTGAAAAGTTGATCAACTCGTCAACTTTTCAACTAAAATAGCGAGATAAACTAAAGGCCACCGCACACCAGCCGATTTTTACAAACGATGAAGCGATGAAGCGATGAAGCGATGTTGGTGTGCGGCGGCCTTAAGATTCAGATCAACTAAGATAGTGTAAACTCAGCTTCACACGAGCGAATATCTCTGACTGTGAGTCGACACGGGTGGAGCCGGGAGAGAGAGATTTGAGTACAGTTTGCGCGACGCGCTAATGCCACGTCTCGCATCGCAGCTTGACGAAAATAATCTCCCCCTGGGTGGAGGGGCACACCTCCTGATTGCTATTATCTGAGTGGCTGCATGGCAAAAAGTTGATGAACTCGCTTACAAAAAGTTAAGAAATTAAAACATGTTCTGAAATTAGAACATGTTGACATCAGCTACTGTATACGCTGTATATTTCGCGGTAGTTTAACTTTTGCGAATTTCGCGAACGCGTCCCCGACCGCGAAAATAACAACACGTGAATAATTCATACCGAATAATACCGAATAATTCATAATTCACAAATCGTGAAATTGTCCGTCAAGTCGGAATTTGCAAAAACATCTGTAACCGAAAAATATGGCGTATACAGTAGTTGAGCGCTCAACTACACACTAACGCTAACACTAACACTCACACTCTAACCGCGTCTAACAAAACCAACCTTCGTCTCGCGTCGCAGCTCATCGGAGTCTCCTGCGAACCGCCGCTCATGATCGTCCAGGAGCTACTCCCCGTAGGCTCCCTCCTCGACTTCCTCCTCGACCACCCATCCGAGGTCGACCCGGACACCGACCTCCGACTCTGGGCCGCGCAGGTCGCCTCCGGGATGCGCTACCTCGAGGCGCAGAAGGTCGTACACCGCGACCTCGCCGCGCGAAACATCCTGCTCGCGAACCACCAGCACGCGAAGATCAGCGACTTTGGGCTGTCGCGCGTGACGCGCGCCGAGAAGGACTACTATCGCGCGACCGAGGGCGGCAAGTGGCCCGTCAAGTGGTACGCGCCGGAGTGCATCTACTACGGGCAGTTCTCGCACGCGAGCGACGTGTGGAGCTACGGCGTCACCCTCTGGGAGATGTGGACGTTCGGCGAGCAGCCGTACGGGGAACGCGGCGGACAGGCCGTGCTGAAGATGATCGACAGCGGCGAGCGGCTCACGGCGCCACCTGGTTGCCCGCGCAAGATCTACAAGGTGATGCAGCGCTGCTGGCAGTACGACCCCGCCGCGCGGCCGACCTTCGCCGACCTCCAGCAGCTGTTCGAGAGCGATGCTGACTACCAGCAGATCGTCGCCATGGTGACGAAGTCCCGCATAGCATGAGAGATGTTGTGTGATAATGTGCGTGTGTATGTATTAGGGCTGTAACGATACACAAGCCTCTCGATTCGATCCGGTTCTCGATATTAGCCTGTCGATTCGATCCGGTTCTCGATATTAGCCTGTCGATTCGATTCTTTCGATTCGATTCCCAAAATATTGAAATGTTATCTTATTTTTTATATTTTCATTATTTTGCAATAATAAATTATTAGAAATTGCCAATGAATACTAAATGGTGAATAGACTAGAGAGTCTAGAGAGTATATATATACACTGCACAGTCGCTGAGTAAACTCACTGTAAAAACTCTCTGAGTAAGTCGCTGAGTGTTACCAGAGTTACTCACCAATGTTTTAAACGTATAGCGTAGTGCCGCCATCTATTGGAGGAAAAAAGTGGTGTCAAAGTGGAATCGAAAATACGGGGAAAAATATCGAGGATCGGATCGACTGAAAAGAATCGCGATCCGATTCGATTTCGGTGGCTCGTTACATCCGTAGTATATATGTATATATATATATATATATTTATATATATTTATTTATATATATATATATACATATGTATCTATCTATATCTATCTCTCTCTCTCTCTCTCTTTCACTCACTCTCTCTCTGTCTCGATATATATATATATCAGGAGTAGATAATAGGGAGGAGTGTGACATCAATAAACAAGGGAAATTCGTCATTTACTAGCCTTATAATACCTACGATTTACTACACGTAACTCATCCAACTTGAGCTCAAATCGGACACAGTACATTCGCCCATCATCGTACGAAATCGTTTCCTCGTAGACACCCGCAATCCGTAGATACAGCCTAAAACGTACGACACGATTCTCCATTCTCTGGCCATCAATCCAACCCATTGCGCGCCTATAATTCAAACAAAAGGCAGCTACCTAACGCGCTATTGCTAACTGAGCGAGGCATGTGGCTTGCTGGGAGATTAGGCATCAACACTCGGCGAGATAACCTTTGACCCGGTACACAGCTACACAGGCCACCTTTGTACATAGCTGGCATGCCTTCACGCACGCACGCCAACCAAATGATTAGCTCGTCGAGTGTTGCGTCGATCTCCAATCTCCCTGCGAGCCACAACGCCACATTCAGCTATCCGAGAGAGCAAACACAGCCAGGTTGCTGCCTTTTGTCTGAATTATAGGCGCGCAATGGGCGTTGGATTAATGGCCAGAGAATGGAGAATCGTGTCGTACGTTTTAGGCTGTATCTACGGATTGCGGGTGTCTACGAGGAAACGATTTCGTACGATGATGGGCGAATGTACTGTGTCCGATTTGAGCTCAAGTTGGATGAGTTACGCGTAGTAAATCGTAGGTATTATAAGGCTAGTAAATGACGAATTTCCCTTGTTTATTGATGTCACACTCCTCCCTATTATCTACTCCTGATATATATCCTATATATATATATATCAGGAGTCTATCAATATATTGATAGACGCCTGTATATATCAAGAGCTAATAAATACATGTATGTATAGCATAATATATTATTAGCTATTGATATATATATATATATATATATATGTGTTGTTTGTATGTTATAGTGATGAGAGATTCCCGAGAATGTCGTGATAGAGAGAATGGTGCTGCTGCTGAGAGATGTTGATAAAACATAGATGCCTCCACTGCAGGTTCCTGTTAGCTACTCTGTATAATATATCTCACCTCCAACTTTTCCTGTGATATGTGGTTGTGCGTGTGTTTACGAGTATGTCGTATCCAGGGCCGTAGCCAATTCCTCAGGGGGTGGGCTAAATTTGATGACTCAACTGTGTAATGATGAGCGATGGGCGCAGCTCTTGATCGACGTCCAGTGTGGTAGGTAGGGGTGGGGGTCTGAGACAAAGCTTTCACGGATAAGTGACCCAAAAAATTCATGTTAGGGTTATGATTATTAGCTAAGCTTTTTCAAAATCTGGGGTGCAGCTGCCCCCCCCTGCTTTATGCTTTATGCTTTATGCTTTATGCACAGGCTACGGCCCTGGTTTCGTAAGTTTTTTTAAATCCCTATCTAACATGTGCCTGACATTTGTTACCGGATTGTTAATAGTTGGAAGGTGTAACACTATTCCCCATTTTTAAAATTATCTTCAGCTTACTGAGTGTATATTTATGGCATTATACATATTGGCATGTAACATAGCAAGAATAAAGCCCATTATATATAGGGATATGGAGTCCGATAAATATGCTATACTATAATTAAATAATATTTCATGTATTGAATCAAGAATTATTTTACTAAGAGCTTGAGCTTCACATAAAAACAATTTATGTAACATGTATGGATGTACATATATATATAGCCATGGTCATGCATATATGACGTCCAAGAATGGAATCTCATGTCAACTTTTATTATTATATATTAAAGCTATATAATCACAAATCAAATCGGATGATTTTGTAAAAAGGCAGCATAGTTTTAATGTAAGCTTATTCCCAATAAATGCTGATTGTGGGGAATCAAGACCGGATTGCATTTCCACGTGGTTTGATCTAACCCACAAATTAACACAAGCATAAAAAATAACATCAGCTACAGTCACAAGACAGCGCATGAAATTGAATGATATCCTTTGACACACTCACAGCTCCACAAGTTGTTGCCAAAGCATTACAGCTGTCAAAACTTTCATGTTATTAAGTTTTCACCGTACGAACACACACTTCCAATGTACATTGACACATGACAGCCATGAGAGTGATAACCACGTCACAAATGAGGCTTCCACCTTAACAGATCATAACTTGGCCACGCTACATCTTCCGTCCCCATGCAAAACTAGTCTTGGAGTTTTGGCATCGCAAATTCAATCAAATCAAAGACTATAATAATACCATGAATATTATCAGAAGATCTGATATTATGAACGTTCGTCTTGTTGCTTTTTACAGACACCAAACTGACTTAAACATTTAAAATGCAAGTTGATCCCTTGTCTAATCACACAAGATCTCTCAGATTCACAAAAACTTGACATCGCAAAATCGCCCGTTTATTTATAGTCTCGCGTGTAGCATAGAATAAAATTAACATAACCACGCGTAAGGCTGATAGGGTCTATGTCCCCCAGGGTACTGCCGGAACGTACCCTGGTACTAAATACTACTATCTAATATGCCGGACCGTACCTCGCCTACTCCACTAACGTCGCCTACGCCTACTCCCTAACCCTAACCCTAACCATATCAGCTAGATAGTTACCAGGGTACGTTCCGGTATACCAGACCGTACCCAGGGTACGTTCCGGCAGTACCCTGGGGGACATAGACGCTATCAGCACAAGGAAGTCTGCATACACTGTTATTTTATTTCCACAGTGATTAGTTTATGTGGCAGTACGTGACAACTTCTAAATAATTCATTACCTATGCAGAATATAATGTATTTCATGTAACCGTTTAATTTTGTATCCAGATTTGACTAGTTTTATAGTGACAAACTATTTCGATAACATTTACTCGAATAATAATGCTTGATAATTCACAAATAACAGTGTGACAGGCTACTAAAAGTCCGTCTGTAGTAATTCTCATGCATTCAAACAACAACAATAAGATTCGTCAATGTCTCATGGCATATAATTGCCATGTTATGGAATTATGACATTTTCTGCAAATGCAATGAATAATGAACACTTCATATTCCAAATGATGTTCAAATTAGAAAATAATCGATCCTATTATTAGATCATACACCGTTTCTTGCAATTTTTTCCCATCACGTTTTCCCAGAAAACAACTACCATATTTGATGGCAACAGAACAACATTTACCAGAAAATAGGGTGAAAAATCGCTTTGCATCTTGTGTGAAGTTAATTGCTACCTTCCATACCCTAATGACTGCCCAAAACGTTACCTATAGTAGTTTTCCGGAACATTCAACATAGCACAACCATAGAATAAATCTATTGTTTTCTTACCTTTTTTTTTTATTCACGTACATCTTTACGTGAATGTCTTTCACGTAATGGAAACCCGTTTCTGGTATACACATGTTAATAAACATTAAATGCTTATGTACACTTACAAACATTGCTCCTATATAATTATTCCCTATTGAAATTAAGGGGAGTGCGTCTTACATGTATATGCCTGTGTTCCTTACATATGCCATCAAATACGGTCAAACAGAAAGCACACCGAGAACATTTAGGAATGAGATCTATCATGTTTCGATAGCTTCTTCTTTGAGTGTAAACATCCGGCAAGTGTTTTCTTTCACATGACATTGGCGCATGAAGTGCAATCAAAATTGAATCAACACGTTATCAACACGTTCTATACGTTGTGTCAAGAGCTAATGTTACATGTAATCAAGAGCCCATTAACCCCTAAGCCTATTAATTAGGGGTTAATGGGCTCTTGATGTAATATTAACTCTTGATTGTGTACTATGTACGTACTGCGCACTTTCACTGCATCCGTGCACGTATTGCACACACAAAATCCGTTCAACGGACTGCTGTCTCATTGACTAGTACCTTTGCCAAAATACTAGGTGACGTATATATGGGGATATATGTACATCGTATAATGGGGAAATAAACAGCAGACATTAGTGGCAGTTTTTTAACATATTCTTTAAACACGTATCTTTTTTACATTGCAAATCAGTGCTATAATACCATGAACAGAACACATTCCATCATACATATACCATTCGGGTATAAATCTTCAAGTTTATCGTACACTCTTCCCCCAAGAACAAGCCGTCAGTGGATATATCCTACTGTACAGTGTAAAAGAAAGCAAAAAAAAAAGGGGCAGAGGTAGGTGCAAGGCACCGCTGCATCTGCATCTATGGCAATCTCACGGTCAATAATGCTGAGAGGGTCTATGTCCCCCAGGGTACTATCGGAGGGTACCCTGCGTACGGTTCGATATACCGGAACGTACCCTGGTACTATCTAATATGCCGGACCGTACCTCGCCTACTCCACTAACGAGTCTAGGGAGTCGCCTACGCCTACTCCCTAACCCTAACCCTAACCATATCAGATAGTTACCAGGGTACGTTCCGATATATCGAACCGTACTCAGGGTACCCTCCGATAGTACCCTGGGGGACATATAGACCCTATGAGCGTCAATAATTAGCATGTCTGTGTGATAGCAGAACATGCATGCAAGGTGGGTGAGTCATTTCGAGTGATACACTATGCAAATAACTATATTGTTTGCTCAAGACATTTAAAAATAGATAGAATTTACTGTAAACATGCCCTCGAAATGGTCCATGCTTACCTTTCGTGCACCCCTAACACACCCACTCATCCCAAACAAAAACTCATTCGTATCGCTTATTAAAAACTAGACAGAGGGCACTCACGGAGAGTGCATACCTCCGCGAGCGTGTAACATGTATACATGTGTATAACAGCTGGTTCGCTGCTGGCTGCTGCTGACTGGACGCCCTAAGGCGAGCTGCTGCTGACTGGACGCCCTAAGGCAAGCTGGTGCTGAATCGATCGCGCCAACGCGTGCAACATGTATACATGTGTACAACAGCTGGCTCACTGCTGGCTACACACACACGAACACACAGTAGCAAGAACGAGGCGCATTTACGATTACCTCCCTGCAACTCCGTTGCGCAGAGGTAAAAACACTTGTACGTACAAATACTGATGCAGACACGACACCTTAAATATGCAACATATCGCAGCCTTATGGGTTCCTAAACTAGCACCTTGATCGAATGAATCTTTTACTAATTTTGTTCATTCACCGGGACACCTGAACCTGAACACATTTAACAGTAGTTATGTGTGTCTATGAACTCGAATGGGAAATATAAAATTTATTTATAAAAAAATTAAAACACAGTCACGTTGTTGTTATGCACTTAGTAGAGCTGAGAGGGTCTATGTCCACCAGGGTACTGCCGGAACGTACCCTGACGTCCCGTTATACCGAACGTACCCCTGGTAACTAATCCTAAATATCGCGGACCGTACCTCGCCCTACTCTACTAACGAGTCTAGGGGGTTGCCTACGCCTACTCCCTAACCCTAACCCTAACCATATCAAATAGTTACCAGGGTACATTCCGATATACCGGACCATACCCAGGGTACGTTCCGGCAGTACCCTGGGGGACATAGACCCTATGAGCCTTAGTAGACTTTATACAGTTTCTGATTTCTAATAATAGTCGTACATTCAATCAGCATTTCCCATGTGGTTGTAACAAACGAGTTACTTCGTCGTCTTAACACATAACATGTGTTTAGGGCAAGGTTATATGTCCCACGTTAAATTTAGGGAAACTCTTGCGGCATTTATCTGTTTGGCTGTTCAGTACAATAACACATGAAATAAATAATTAATCAATAGAGGAATTTTACATGCAACCCTACTACCATCAAATTGCACACCATGCACATGCACCTACAATGCCAGCTGTAAACCTACCGTAAGACTACATTGTGTGAACTTTAATATAAAAAGGTTCTAACAGAAGCATACTATCAACACAGGCAATTTAATTAACTGAGCGATAGGCAATGAAAATGAAGGAAACGTATTCAAGAATAACAACAAGATATCACATATCTTTTCCACATACTTAAATTGACACAAAGCGTAGCACACAACGAATTTACAAACATCATTCAATATATTCCGTGAATCGGGCATTTTCGTGCATACGTGTGGATGTGTGGACAATACAAAGAAACATGGCGGCCAGGACACATGTAGTCACAATACCGCAACTGATTATCAGCAGTGGATAAAGTCATCAGTCGCAAATCAAACGCACACGTAACACAGGTACACATGTGAACTTTCAAAACATTAAAACTGGTGGAATTGATTTAGTAACGAATGAAATAAGTTAATTGGATTTTGTTGAAAACTATGAATTCATATTTATCTTGTGTTAAATCCAAGAAATTAACTTACTATCATACACATATGGCTGCCACCTATGATGACGTCACATCCTGATGAAGATTTCCCGAAGGGAGATCGAAAATTTCTATAGTGTGTTAATTTCTTGGATTTAACACAAGATAAATATGAATTCATGATTTAGTTATGACTACATGTAACACGTTGACCCCGCACAGTAACTGTTGCCATTTTATAGTGACATAGCAAACACTTTCAAAGCCCACTTGTTAACTTTCACATTCAATTTAATTCAAGTTAAATTCAAAGCCAGTTTAGGATCACTATTATATAACAAAGATGAATTATACTGAAAAACAAAACAAGCAAAAAAAAGCTGGAGGTAAGGCAAGCAGTTCACAAACAAAGCCGGCATCGGGAACAGCGTCCGTCTACTTTTCTGTAAAATGCGGACAACGCTAGAGGTTGAGAGACGTACATGCAGTGTGTCTCCGTCCGACGTTTACATATGTTTACGCACGAGTCTCGGAATTCGCCCCCTGCATTCTGGTCCACCGAGCAGATTTTTATTGGTCTCGCCCCCAGGGATACATCCCTGACTCCACTCATGCTAACATTAACATTGAGTGTCTGTCGTGGTCCCTACAGTGACGAAAATCACGAATATGAACCCCAGACATTTCGACAGGTTACAAGTGCCCTTAAAAACGGTAAAAAATAAGTATTCACATGCTATGGGTATCGGTGGTATACTATAGACATGATGCATGCAATCTTCATTGGTTAATATTGTGCAAGGGTAGCTTCCGTTGAAATGACTTATCCATGGCATTAAGTATGACCATGCAGGAATGAGACAACGCAACACAAGCACGCACCCATGCATTCACGGTGCCACACACGCACGCGCACACGAATGCACGCACGAACACACACGCACAGACACACACACACACGGCTTTGCCAGGAATACATCTGATCTGAAGCAATTGCTAGCTCTCACTGCCATTCTACATCTACACGAATAACACTGCTAGTAACCACTGCCTAGTGAAATGTATACGTGACCAGCAAGGTCTAAGCGAACGTTACTAGTAGATTTAGTACCCAGTTTGCGAGTTTCTATCAGTATATGAATTAACAATTAACTATATCAATGCAATTATTGAACAACAGATTTGCTGTGGATCTATACAGCACAAATTTATACTGTATGAGGCTGAAGATGATACTACTATCTTCACACGACAATCTGCATCTTGGCAGAACGCGTACGTATGTGTGCCTGCTGTGATCAGATCACCACACTGCCTTCGTGGTGGGCCGCGGTCTTCTTGAATACTTCAGCAACAGTATGTCTCCAACTTCTGATATGTGCTTCAAAGCCTAACAATCAAAGTTTCGATTAGTACCAACAGAGCAATGCGACATGGAAACAACATCGAATTCAGCATCGAATCGTACCATTTCATTCAGAGTATCTTTTAGCGTTATACCAACACAGAAAAGAACTTGAAGCTGTATCATTTCAACAGGTACGAGTAATCACGAGAGAAACTTCACGTATCTCAATTGAATCTATTCGTATTTGCCCAAATTTACACGTTATAGCCGCTCCATTATACGTCGACAACTACGTTACGACAACTACTATCCATCCGTACTATTTCAAATGCACCACCAACACATGTACCCATTCGTATTTGTTTTAAGGACACATTAAGGTTTGTAGGTGAAATTTGGTAAAAATTTCAATGTCCATTTTGTTTGAGAGACATCTCTTTTATTAAATAGTTGCGTGTTTGATTGGATTTGATGTGCAGTTACGTTGTAATGCCCTTTACAGTGGTACCTGTCCGTAACCCTGACTGTATCCTTAACAATATAGGGCAATATAGGGGACCTTTTTTGAGTCATTGACCCCTTTGAGAATCTGGTGAAAGCTACGGACCCCTCCCCCCAGAATAATGCACAGGATTGAGAAGGATTAAGAACCCTTGATATAGGGTAAGTACATACATAGTCTAGCATCTCCTTGGTGTGCGCTGCGGAGAGACAGAAGCGTGCTCTCGACTCGATGATGGGAGTTGCCGGAAAACCAACTTGGACGGTGCCGATATTTCGCTCAAACATCATCCGGCCAAATGCTCTGCGAGAAAGAAATGGCAGATGATCACATAGACTCCTGCGTTTACCCTAGGGTCCCTATATACAGAGAGTTGCGCCATGACGAGTCGGGAAAAATCGGTCACGTGGTCGCTGGACGACATGTTGTTTCCAAATGGATACGCACGGCTATGGCCGTAAGAAAGTGTACAATTAAATTATCATATAGCGCGAACGATTTGAGTTACATTTCTAGAAATCTAGATACACATAGACACATGTCTTAGCTATAATCTCTGTAAATTTTGAGTTTATTGAAGCACGATTAGTCTAATTAATTACTACGGACCATTGTACAGCGTATCCATACAGCGCTGTACTTAAGCGGCAGCGGTGAGAATCCATTTGGAAACAAAATGGCGTCAAATCCTGAGTTGGCGCAACTCTCTGTATACAGGGACCCTAGTTTACCCTTATATACAATTTCTTGTTAATCAACATCACAGAGGTCATTTAAAGCACAGAAAGGCTCATAAAGCAAAGAATTCTAACCAGATGACTCAGAAATGAAGATGCTTACAGAAGACATTAAATTATAAAATACAAGAAAACATGTAATAATGCTTAAGGGAGAGAAATGTTTAGGAAACAAGTATAATCAAGTGGTAATTAACATGAATGCATGAACTTGTGCATACACGGTGCCAACACATCTCGAGTTACCGCACGACATCAAAACGGGGAATGTATTCGATAATGTCATAGAATACGTAGAACAAGTAGTATCGCATCGCGATGTGGGCTATGTAATAATATAATACCAACACTAAAGATTCTAAAACCACTAACATTCTATTCTATTATTAATTATTTTTTATATAACATTAATGTTCTAATTAAGACGTAATGAATGAACTTACGCAATCTTTGCAGGCATGTAGATGAGCATTGGCACTACAGGGGAGTCATCATTGCCATACACAATGAAGCCCATTTCCTTTAGCCGATTCCTAAAATATTTGGCATTGCGTGCAAGTTGGAATATCCTTCTCTGTCCTGAAACCGACAACAAGGATTGCAATGCAGCTCGCGTTGCAAAAACATAAATGTTATAATAGAATATATAATGGAAGTTAATCGATTAATTAAAACGTTATTTGGAAGTGGCGCCATCTGCAACAAAATTTGTTTCATGAGCATCACATCACGCGCGTATGCTGCGTCATTTATAATCTCGTTATAGACTAAAAGATGCCTCAACACTGCACAAAAATTCTGTGCTACTGTGCTGAGAAACTGCATGACTCGGTGAATGCAGCACATGTACCTTCGTCCGGACACAGATCTCCCATGATGACCTTTGTTGTCGTGATGATCTGTTGGGCGACCGGTGGGGAGATGCTAGTGGCATAGACAACGCTGTGGGATTTTGCACGCAGGTGATCGACCAGCCTCTACAAATACAATTACAATACAATACAATACAATACAATACAATACAATACAATACAAGAGCGGTGGGGAGATGCTAGTGGCATAGACAACGCTGTGGGATTTTGCACGCAGGTGATCGACCAGCCTCTACAAATACAATTACAAACACGACAAACACAATACAATACAATACAATACAATACAATATGATACAATACAAGACAATACGATACAATACAAGACTGGTGGGGAGATGCTAGTGGCATAAACGACACTGTAAGTTTGCACGCAGGTGATCGACCAGCCTCTACAAATACAAATACAATACAATACAATACAATACAATACAATACAATACAATACAATATGATACAATACAAGACAATGCGATACAATACAAGACCGGTGGAGAGATGCTAGTGGCATAGACAACGCTGTGGGAGTTTGCACGCAGGTGATCGACCAGCCTCTACAAATACAATTACAAACACAATACAATACAATACAATACAATACAATACAATACAATACAATACAATACAATACAATACAATACAATACAATATGATACAATACAATACAATACAAGACAATACGATACAATACAAGACCGGTGGGGAGATGCTAGTGGCATAAATGACACTGTAAGTTTGCACGCAGGTGATCGACCAGCCTCTACAAATACAATTACAAATACAATACAATACAATACTATACAATATGATACAATACAAGAGCGGTGGGGAGATGATAGTGGCATAGACGACGTTTTGGGATTTTGCACGCAGGTGGTCGACCAGCCTCTACAAATACAATAATTACAAACACAATACAATACGATACAATACAAGTACAAATACAATACGATACAATACAAGTACAAATACAATTACAATTTAGCCATCATAGCCATAACCACAGAGCGGTTACAAAGTCCCATCACGAATGAGCCACCGCTTGTAATTTTGTAAGGATTATTGAGCAAATGTAGCCGGTTGCAGTGCGGAAACTCTCTCGAGTAAAGCTCAGACAAATTTAGTCAAACTCCAGTTTGACGTCAACACGCGGACAGTCACCACTACCCGCACTGATTCGTGTTCCACTTCGCTGATACCTTCGGGCCAGCAATGTAGCTGCCTGCCGTACCGAAACTCTTCCACAACGTTCACAAAGCTCTTTACCGCCACACCAAAATTCTTTGTAAAGCTCAATTGAATTTAGCGCACCGCAATTATAACGTTAAACCTAGCCTCACACCGGTTGAACTCACATGCAGTCACCCCTACCCCCACCGATTTACCAAACGCCACTGCGACATCTGCCGATACCTTTGAGCCGGCAATGCAGCCGGCCGTCGCGCCAAAACTCTTACGAGTAAACCCCAATCAAAAATTCAAATTTCAAAAATCTGATTCGCATTCCCCATCGCAGATACCTTTGAGCCAGAGATTTAAACCTGGACAGTCACCCCTACCCCCACCGATTGAGCACGCCACTGACATTTGAGCCAGCGATGTATCCGTCCACCGCGCCAAAACTCTTCCGGGTAAACCCCAATCAGATTTTTGATTCGAGTTCGAAAATTTCAAATTTCAAAAATCTGATTCGCGTTTAACCTCGCTATATACCTTCGATCCAGCGATGTATCCGCCTGCGGCGCCGAAGCTCTTAGTGAAGGTTCCCATCATGACGTCAACGTCGCGCGGCTCGCATCCCCAGTACTCGACGACGCCGCGGCCCGTGCCACCCATCGCGCCGATGCTATGCGCCTCGTCGACGTACAGGTACGCCTTGTACTTCTTCTTCAGCTGTACGATGTCTGGCAGACGCACGACGGCGCCCTCCATGCTGCAGCAGACGACGGGCCGGTTAGCGGGTTGGGAGGGGGGCGGGACGACGCGAGGTAGCTCACGGTACGATCCGTATCACGATACACCTGTTACAATATGATCCGTATCACGGTACACCTGTTACAATATGATCCGCTAATCACGGTACACCTGTACAAATGTGTATCACATACAGCCTGTACATATGATCCGTATCACAGATACACCTGTTACAATATGCATCCGTAATCAGCGCATCACAACCTGTTACACATATGATCCGTATCACGATACACCTTATACAAATATGATCCGGTATCACGATACACCTGTCACAATCAATGATCCGTGATCACAGATACACCTGTTACAATAGAATCCGATATCACGATACACCTGTTACAATATGATCCGTATCACGATACACCTGTTACAATATGATCCGTATCACGATACACCTGTTACAATATGATCCGTATCACGATACACCTGTTACAATATGATCCGTATCACGATACACCTGTTACATATGCAATCCGTATCACGGATACACCTGTCACAAATGATCCGTATCACGATACACCTGTTACAATATGATCCGTATCACGATACACCTTTCGCGACACGATCCGTATCACGATACAGCTTTCGCAACGCGATCCGTATCGCGATACAGCTTCTTTCATCATACGATCCACGACACACCTTCGATGCCCGTTTTCGATAGTCACAAGATTAAAGGGACGACGCGGTGCTAGCTCGCAGTACGACCCGCGTCGCGACACACTTTTTTCATGATACGTTTACGATATTGGAGGCAGGCATTTACACTGGTAAGATACTTTACTTGAAGAAGGAGAGCTTACTGAGCTCTTAGCATATTCAAGCTATAAACCCTCACAAGCATATATATATATGCAGTATGCAGCAGCCTGTTTATAGCAGGAGGAAGAACAGGTACAGTAAAAACCTCCATGGAGCTTCGAAATGGATCATTAAACCAGTCGATGAGGATTTAAAATTACCGACGTTTACGTAACAGGGAAAATCAATGAGACACAAGCGAAATTGTCGTTTATGGCGCAGGTGTATCTATCGGACATACCTGTAGATTCCTTCTACAACAATGAGAATCTTTTTGTAGGGTCTGTGAGTTCTATGCTGTCCGTAGACAACCGCATCCAATAGGATCGACTCAAGATCTTTCATATCTAAATAGTAAACAATGCTGTAAGAACCCCCTCCATGTAAATATATATAAAGCTAGACATGCTGTTATGCTCGAAAAAACATTACTAGTAATCAGGATGCATTTCAAACCTAAAACTCCTAACATCTATACACGTGGAGCTTAATTTAATCATTATATAACCACGACATGCTAACGCTCTTAATAGATTTAACATATCAGAACCATCAACAACTTATATAGTTGATATGAACACAAAAACAACTGAGTATACACAAAAATAAAATAGCCTACCATTGTGCTTGAAAACCTTAATCGTTGCTCCTGACAATCTAGATCCAAGAACAAGGGAAGCGTGGTTTAACGAATCACTTATTATCAAGCATCCCTGAAACATAAAAACAGAAGGTAAGAATACATTATTATCAAAATTCAAGTAACGCACTACAGGTACATATATATGCTCGACACCATTTCTAATACAATGATTTTCAAGTTGCACATGTCCTAATCATAGAATTAAAAAATTGTATAGCCTAGGGATCTTAGTTTCTACATAGAATTAAATCGAAAACAGCTCGCAGCCCCCCATCAACCATTATGACATGGAATAGTAAATATATACATATATAGTAACAGGAGCTAATAATGACAAATTTGTCATTATTAGCTCCTGATAGTATATATATAGTATATACATGGACATAGACATAGTATAGCCTAGAGATGAAGCACACAGCAGCACTTACCTTACTAACTAAACAAGGCATATTCATAGCGTTGGTGGCAAAACCCATTCCAAAGCAGATGGCGTCTTCCGTGCCGAGAAAACGAGAGATCAGCTGCTCTAGCTCTACGTGTATCGCCATTGTGCCTATCAACATAGTACCAGAAACCGGGGGCCATGTTGTCAGAAACTAAATTAGTCTTCAGGATCATTAATTTTTCACATAGACTATACCTCGTATCGCCATCGTTCCTAGCAACATGGTACCAGAAACCGAGGCCACATTGTCAAAAAACTAATTTAGTCTGAAAATTTTTCGAGCAGATGGGACCTCTATACGCTGCATACGAGCAACCCATGACGTTACCATGTTTCTGTCATTAGTCTACGAGAAAATATTTACATTAATACTAATGTTGTAGCTAATTTTGTTTATATGACAATTGTCCCCAGACTATTACAACTGCAAAGAGTATACCACTACCAGACGACGAATACTATCATTCACGAATTAAATTACTTCCACGAATGCACACGCGGGATTATTCACTCACGAATACGGCTGTGTACAAATGAAAAAAAGGTAAAGAAACACATTATGTATCGCTTCAAACATTCCTCTGAAACGTGCTTGTTTTACGTGAAACCTCGGCACATTACGCGTCACTTCCAATGCTTCTGCTGTCTGAAACGCGTTTGATCTACGCGAAACCTCAGCACATTGCATTTCACTTCCAATGCTTCTGCTGTCTGAAACGCGTTTGATCTACGCGAAACCTCAGCACATTGCATTTCACTTCCAATGCTTCTGCTGTCTGAAACGCGTTTGATCTACGCGAAACCTCAGCACATTGCATTTCACTTCCAATGCTTCTGCTGTCTGAAACGCGTTTGATCTACG